AATCAGAGTAGACTAGTTTATTTGAACACAGATACAAGATATATACACTCAGGGGACAAATCCCCCCTCCCTGCATAATGTCACAGGGTGGGGCAATCTACAATTAGTAACAAGAGACACACAGGTATTCAAACTTCACACCAGCAGACAGTCCCATCAGGAGGAAGGGCTGCTGGAGACAACCCCCCACTAAGCTAATACACATAAACACATACATCCCATAATAGTTTGCTCCCAAGCCAGACAAACAATAGAACAATGGGATGCAACCACATAACACCAAACAATCCACAACCCCCACTCCACCTATCTCCTAGACGTGTCTACACAATATTAAGACAGATCACCCTGTACCCCTAACAGGCACAGGGTGACTTACACATAATAGCGATATGGGGAGCTAAGACAGGGGTGAGCTGGGTTCCATGGGCCCCCCACCCAAAGTGACTCCCGTCACATAGACTCTTTCATTCCTCTTGCCAACCAGTCTAAAATGTCTTGAACGAATGTCTCTCTTCATTAGGTGTAGGAAACCTGCTGAATCCTCACCTGCGGAGTTCATCCTCCTACGCTGGACAAGAAGTTACAGAAGTAACTTGACAGATTGTATACAGAGCAAGGTAGCCAGACAACAGTTCACACCTTCAACCATGGAAGTGGAAGGCATCACACCTATGCAGGATTTCTGGCACCAAGGGATGGGATGATATAATTAGAAGAAGGTGTTTCTACAAATGTTCTCACCTCCCATCCTGTTCTTGGATAATCGTCCTCTGCCTTGACGTCTTCCATGGCGACTGGATAAGGGACACTCGGTTGCCTGTGTGGCTATAAATGCTGGGGAGTGGATCAGACTGGAAGGGGGGTGAACAGGGGCGGACTGACAACTCATGGGGCCCCCAGGCAATAGGGGATCACGGGGCCCCTGTGTCCTTGCCCAAACTCAAAAAAGCCTATGAAAAATGTACAAGGGGCATCTCATGGGGCCCCCTACTGACCCCGGGCCCTCGGGCAGTGCCCGAGTTTCCAAATGGTCAGTCTGCCCCTGGGAGTCAATTAACCTATCAGCATGTCTTTGGAGTGTGGAAGGAAACCGGAGTACCCAGAGGAAACCCACGCAGGCACAGGGAGAACATGCAAGCTCCAGGCAAGTGGTGCCGTGGTTGGGATTTGAACCCTCAAGGGTAGGTCAGTTTCCAAGTGGTCAGTTTCCAAGTGGTCAGTCCGCCCCTGGGGGTGAAAGTGTCCCGCATTGAAGTTGTGACGGGAGTGACTTTTGGGGGTGGGGGACCGCTTGGTCAGCTCATGTCCCCCTCATTATGTTTAACCCACCCTGTGCCTGTTAAGGGGTACAGGGTGTGAATGTGAATGTCCCAGTATTGTGTATAGTGTGTGTTCCTTTGTCCCTGCCATGTGGTTGCCCATTGTCTACTGCCATGTGTCCATTCCTTTGTTCTGGGCCACATGGCTGTCCATTGTTTGTTTGCCATGTGCTGCCCCCCATGGTGCTGTGTCTTCCTGTCCAGCCAACTATTATGGGATGTACTGTTTGTGTATTGGTGTGGGGGTTGGTCAATGTCCTTTGCCACATGGTTGCATCCCATTGTTCTGTGTCTGGTTGGATGGGGAGGGGTGATGAGGTGTTTCCTGCCTATACTGTAGCCCTTCCCACTGAGAGGGTGGGCTGATGATGTATTTCCTGTTCCTGGTTGTGTTTCCCCGCCCTCTGTATAAAACATGTTTGTGTAAAATAAAGAGTTGTTGGCTTCCTGTTTTAGTAAGAGCCGGGTGCTGTCTTTTTCCTGAGGGATTTCAGGGTGTGGTCCATGGATGGTGTTGGGACAGGGGAAGCTGCAGGATAACGGAATATACCCAAGTGCGGTCGGGTACCGGTTCCGTTACAGAAGTGGTTAAATACAAATAGTTGTGGCATTAGACACAATTTAAACATAATTAGGCAAGTTGATTTTTTTTTCTTTTTATCTTAAGTTCCTTTTTTTTTTTTTAGATTTTTGTATTTACCGAATGTTCCGTCTAATCAGTTGAGCACGTTGGATGTCCTCCTGGGGTTACCAGTAGCTAAGAGCCCCTTCTGTGGATCGTTCCTATGTACTGACATGGCACAGAAAACTTTAAAAGCCCCCGTGTGATTATCTACAATGAAGGCCAGAGGGGGTCAGAGGTCTCCCCGCTGGGTTAGCGCCTCTGTGACTTCATCGGAGTTGCTCTCTCTTTGTTGCCGGCAGCGGATCCCTTTTTGATTTGTTGATTTGTGGCCGACTTTGTTCTCACCAGGAACATGCTGGAAAGGAAAATCAAAGGCGACGATCAAGCCAATTAGGGAGAAAATGACAATGATATGAAGGGTGGGCTGTGCCGACGATGACACCAGGATGGTGCGCTCATGCTGTGCTGCTTTCCCTTCCTAATCCTTACAGCAGGAATAAAGGAATTGGAATAACAACATCGTTCAGTAGAGAAACCGATCGTTGCTTTTAAAAACCTTCATTTAGGCTGCGTTCACATTTATGCCAACCATGTTCGCACGGGCATTCATTTGAATGGGCTGCTGTGCCTGCATTTTCGAGCAGGAAAAAGGTTCTTGTACCTTTTTTTTAAACCACTTCCAGTCCGGACACTTTCCCCCCCTTCCTGTCCGGACACTTTCCCCCCCTTCCAGTCCAGACACTTTCCCCCCCTTCCAGTCCAGACACTTTTTGCTCCCTTCCAGTCCGGACACTTTCCCCCCCTTCCTGTTTCCGGACACTTTCCCCCCTTCCAGTCCCGACACTTTCACCCCCTTCCAGTCCCGACACTTTCACCCCCTTCCAGTCCCGTCACCCCCCCAGTCCCGACACTTTCACCCCCTTCCAGTCCCGACACTTTCACCCCCTTCCTGTCCCGACACTTCCCCCCCTTCCAGTCCGGACACTTTCCCCCCCTTCCAGTCCAGACACTTTTGCTCCCTTCCAGTCCGGACACTTTCCCCCCCTTCCTGTCCGGACACTTTCCCCCCCTTCCAGTCCCGACACTTTCACCCCCTTCCAGTCCCGACACTTTCCCCCCCCTTCCAGTCCCGACACTTTCACCCCCTTCCAGTCCGGACACTTTCCCCCCCTTCCTGTCCCGACACTGCCCCCCCCTTCCTGTCCGGACACTTCCCCCCCCTTCCCCCCCCTGTCCGGACACTTTCCCCCCCTTCCTGTCCGGACACTTTCCCCCCCTTCCTGTCCCGACACTTTCCCCCCCTTCCTGTCCCGACACTTTCCCCCCCTTCCAGTCCGGACACTTTTGCTCCCTTCCAGTCCGGACACTTTCCCCCCCTTCCTGTCCCGACACTTTCCCCCCCTTCCTGTCCCGACACTTCCCCCCCTTCCAGTCCGGACACTTTTGCTCCCTTCCAGTCGGACACTTTTGCTCCCTTCCAGTCCCGACACTTTCCCCCCCTTCCTGTCCCGACACTTTCCCCCCCTTCCTGTCCCGACACTTTCCCCCCCTTCCAGTCCCGACACTTTCCCCCCTTCCTTGTCCGGACACTTTCCCCCCCTTCCTGTCCGGACACTTTCCCCCCCTTCCTGTCCCGACACTTTCCCCCCCTTCCTGTCCCGACACTTTCCCCCCCTTCCAGTCCGGACACTTTCACCCCCCTTCCAGTCCGGACACTTTCACCCCCCTTCCAGTCCGGACACTTTCACCCCCTTCCTGTCCCGACACTTTCACCCCCCTTCCAGTCCGGACACTTTCACCCCCCTTCCAGTCCGGACACTTTTCACCCCCTTCCAGTCCGGACACTTCCCCCCCCTTCCAGTCCGGACACTTCCCCCCCCTTCCAGTCTGGACACTTTCCCCCCCTTCCAGTCCGGACACGTTCCCCCCCTTCCTGTCCAGGCCAATTTTCAGCTTTCAGCGCTATCACACTTTGAATGACAATTGCGCGGTCATGCAACACTGTACCCATATGAATTTTTTAGCATTTTTTTGAGACAGATAAAACTTTATTTTGGTGGTATTTATTCACCGCTGGGATTTTTATTTTTTTTGCTATGTAAATGAAAAAGTCCAAAAATGTTGAAAAAAAGTGTTTTTCTTATAAAATTTTGCAAATAAATAATCTTGCATCATAAATCTTGGCCAAAATTTATTCCGTTATATTTTTAGTAAAAAAAAAAATAACCCAAATTAGTTTATAACCAAAAATTATAAGTTTTAAACTTTTTTTTACATTTTTATTTTATTTTTTATATTATTATTTATGTTTTTTTTTTTTTTTTTTACATACTGTCACCCTAGCAGTACAGTGTCACCATAGTGACACTGTACTACTTGTGGGGGGTGAAGATTTTTTTTTTTTTTACACTGATTCCTTTTACACCCATAAAGGCTGTAAAAGCAATCATTTCTCCTTCTCTCTGGCTGCATTCTTGCAGCCATTGAGAAATACTGTGTGAGCTGTGATTGGTCACATCTTGTCACATGGTACAAGGCTGTTGTGAATAGCCCTGTACCATGTGATCTCGGTGATCATTCACAGATTTCACACGTAGTAAGCAATGATGTCAGAAGTGACATCATTGCTTACTACTCTGCATGTGATCACTGATTGGCCAGAGAGAGGTCCCGTCTGATGATCGGTGTTCCACTTTGTCCGGAGGACACAGCGGGCACCGGATCGCGGTGCTACATGCTCCCAGGGAGCGTGCACAAGCAGGGTGCAGGCTGCGGGGAGGTGGTTTATAAATGGCCACCCGACGACCCTGCACTGCCACCGTCCGGCTGTTTATATACAACGGCCGGACGGGAAGTGGTTAAAAACCTTCACTTAAGCTGCGTTCACATTTATGCAGCCATGTTTGCACGGGCAAGAAGGAGGTCTTGTGAGGAGCGGAGTGTGCATGCCTAGGGGCTTGACTGTATACACCTGTGTCCATGGAGGGGATTGGAACACCTGAATCACATGATAAGGAGGGGATTGGAACACCTGAATCACATGATATGGAGGGGATTGGAACACCTGAATCACATGATAAGGAGGGGATTGGAACACCTGAATCACATGATTGGGAGGGGTATTGGAACATCTGAATCACATGATATGGAGGGGATTGGAACACCTGAATCACATGATTGGGAGGGGATTGGAACACCTGAATCACATGATATGGAGGGGATTGGAACACCTGAATCACATGATATGGAGGGGATTGGAACACCTGAATCACATGATTGGAGGGGATTGGAACACCTGAATCACATGATTGGGAGGGGATTGGAACACCTGAATCGCATGATTGGGGGGGATTGGAACACCTGAATCACATGATTGGGGGGGGATTGGAACACCTGAATCACATGATTGGAAGGGCGGGGCAATACTTTTGGCAATATAGTGTGTGACGGGAGTCACTTTGGGTGAGGGGCCCATGGAACACAGCTCACTTTGGAGAGGTGGGGAGACCCCTGTCTCAGCTCCCCATATCCCTCCTATGTGTAAGTCACCCTGTGCCTGTTAGGGGTACAGGGTGATCTGTCCTGATATTGTGTAGACATGTATAGGTGGGGGGGGGGGTTGTTCATTATTTACTGCCAGGTGGTGCATCCCACTGTTCTATTGTGTGTCTTGCTTGGGAGCAAACTATTATGGGATGTATGTGTTTGTGTATTGGCTTGGTGGGAGGTGTCTGCTGATGTGTCTCTGGTTGCTAGATTTGGTTGGCCCCGCCCTGTGTCCATATGCGGGGGGGGGGGGGGGGGGTTTTTCCCTTGAATGTTTATATCTTGTGTCTGTGTTAAAATAAAGCAGTCTATTTCCTAAGTTATTTCAGGACTGGTCTCGTATGGTCAGCGGTGGTGTCCGTGGATCTGTATTCGGACAGGGAAGCGGGAGTCTAACGGAAATACCCCAGTGCAGTCGGGGCCCGGTTCCGTTACATAGTGTAGTCACCAGGGGCGGACTGACAACTCATGGGGCCCCCCGGGCAATAGGGGATCATGGGGCCCCTGTGTCCTTGCCCAAACTCAAAAAAGCCTATGAAAAAGGTACCAGGGGCATCTCATGGGGCCCCCTACTGACCCCGGGCCCTCGGGCAGTGCCCGAGTTTCCAAATGGTCAGTCCGCTGCTAACTGCTGAAACAAGGCAGGGGCGGAGATGAGGGAGGTGCTACAGCTGCAGGAGAGGTGTGAGGGCCATAGGAAATGACCTAGCGGGCCTTGTGTTTGACACACGTGGCCTACAGGTAGGAGAAACCATTAAAGTCTTTATGCCAAGGGCGCACTAGGAGAACAAACCCAACTGAACCGCTCTCACGTGAGTCGCGGCCGTCACGGCCTCTTGTCTCCTTTCTGCCCACCTCACCACAACCGGAGCAGAACCGGCCCAGAAGGTAACCTTCAATAATGTAGATGGACAGCGATCGTCGCACTTAGACTTTTCGAGGTTTAATTCGACCACTATCTCCCGGCAGCCTGGCAATCCGCTAAAATCCCGGCAAAGTACGTTGTTGACTTTGAGTGGATATTTTTCTTTATCCTTCACAAAACTGGAGTTTCATCCAAACGAGCGTCTGTGAAGGCCAAGTAGACTTGTTTGTTACATTGTGTATGAGGAACGTCACCTTTTCATTAACTAATCAATGAAAATTTCCATCCTCGCGAGGGATTATTAAAGCCGCATAATTCATTAAACATCGTTTGAATATGAAGTAGCATTTCTGAAGCACCGATAAAGCTTCTTCTTTTCCTTTTTTTTTTTAATATATATTTCAGAAGATAATATAAAAAAAAGCTAATTATTAACTTTTTTTTTTCTTTTTTTTACATATTTTAGAAGATAATAAAAAAAAAACAAATGATTAACTTATTTTTTCTTTTTTTTTACATATTTTAGAAGATAATAATAAAAAAAAAAAAGTAAATGATTAACTTTTTTTTTCTTTTTTTTACATATTTTAGAAGATAATAAAAAAAAAGTAAATGATTAACTTTTTTTTTCTTTTTTTTTTTTTTTTTACATAATTCAGAAGATAATAAAAAAAAAGTAAATGATTAACTTTTTTTTTCTTTTTTTTTACATATTTTAGAAGATAATAAAAAAAATGCAAATGATTAACTTTTTTTTTCTTTTTTTTTACATATTTCAGAAGATAATAAAAAAAAAAAAGCAAATGATTAACTTTTTTTTTCTTTTTTTTACATATTTTAGAAGATAATAATATAAAAAAAAGCCAATGATTAACTGTTTTTTTTTTTCTTTTTTGAACATATTTTAGAAGATTATAATACAAAAAAAGCAAATGATTATTTTTTTTTTACATATTTTAGAAGATAATAAAAAAAAAGCAAATGATTAACTTTTTTTTTTCTTTTTTTTTCTTTTCTTTAAATACTTTAGAAGATGATAAAAAAAAAACAAATGATTAACTTTTTTTTTTTACATATTTTAGAAGATAATAAAAAAATGCAAATTAATAAAAAATTTTTCTTTTTTTTTTCTTTTTTTTTAATATTTTAGAAGATAATAAAAAAAAAACAAATGATTAACTGTTTTTTTTTTTTTTACATATTTTAGAAGATAATAAAAAAAAAAAGGAAATGATTAACTTTTTTTTTCTTTTTTTTTCTATTTTTACATATTTCAGAAGATAATAAAAAAAACAAATGATTAACTTTTTTCTTTTCTTTTTTTTTACATATTTTAGAAGATAATAATAAAAAAAAGCAAATGATTCACTTTTTTTTTTCTTTTTTTTTCTTTTCTTTAAATATTTTAGAAGATAATAAAAAAAAAAACAAATGATTAACTTTTTCATTTTTTTTTTTTTCTTTTTACTTATTTCAGAAGATAATAAAAAAAAAGCAAATGATTAACTTTTTTTTTCTTTTTTTACATATTTTAGAAGATAAAAAAAAAAAAGCAAATGATTAACTTTTTTTTTAAAATATTTAGAAGATAATAAAAAAAAGCAAATGATTAACTTTTTTTTTCTTTTTTTTTACATATTTTAGAAGATAATAAAAAATAGCAAATGATTAACTTTTTTTAGTTTTTTTTTCTTGTTTTACATATTTCAGAAGATAATAAAAAAAAGCAAATGATTAACTTTTTTTTTCATTTTTTTTACATATTTTAGAGAGATAATAATAAAAAAAGCAAATGCTTAACTGTTTTTTTCTTTTTCTTTTTTTTTTTGCATATTTTAGAAGATAATAAAAAAATGCAAATGATTAACTTTTTTTTTCTTTTTTTTTTACCATTTTTAGAAGATAATAAAAAAAAAGCAAATTAACTTTTTTTTTTAGTTTTATGACGCCGATGCTAAATCACAACATATACGCTTGAAGCTTAAATAATTTAACTTCCTCAGAAAATAACATTTCGCTGAGACCAGCAATCTGCGCTTTTTAATATTCCCCCCCGGTCGCCGTTGTTTGCCAAATTCCATTTTTCAGATTAAAACACCAACTTTTTCTGCATAAGGAGGAGGCGGGGGCGGCGAGCGCTGCGACGGAACGGTTATCTAAATTGCGTTTTTTCTGCTCTGAGATTGTACTCGGTGCAGATAGTGGTGATAACGGGGCAAAGTCACAAATTTACACAAAGAAAATTGGTTTTCTTTAGAGAAGCAGAAACATAAATCCTAAATGAATTATTTACCGGAATGGCAATTTAACCCTTGCTTGTCGCGGACGCGTCGTTCGCTATCCGTAAACGGCGGCGAGCCTTCAGCGAGGTTTCGGCAATGTCTTTGGAGTATTTTCTGTTTGAAATGCCACTTTTTGCATCGACACCTCATTAGACCCGCTCTGCCTCGGACAGGATGATCACTTGCTGACTTGATATTATCCACAGGCAGCTTAGCTCTTCAACAAGACACAGAAATGGAATTCCACTGATTAGCCCACTGATGAACTTTTTGCATTGACACCTCATTAGACCCGCTCTGCCTCGGACAGTATTTATTTCAGGGACTTATATAGCGCCGTCAATTTACACAGCGCTTTTCATATATATTGTACATTCACATCAGTCCCTAACCCTCAAGGGATGTACAATCTAAGGTCCCTAACCCTCAAGGGGCGTACAATCTAAGGTCCCTAACCCTCAAGAGGTGTACAATCTAAGGTCCCTAACCCTCGAGGGGCGTACAATCTAAGGTCCCTAACCCTCAAGAGGCGTACAATCTAAGGTCCCTAACCCTCGAGGGGCGTACAATCTAAGGTCCCTAACCCTCGAGGGGCGTACAATCTAAGGTCCCTAACCCTCGAGGAGCGTACAATCTAAGGTGCCTAACCCTCAAGGGGCGTACAATCTAAGGTCCCTAACCCCCGAGGAGCGTACAATCTAAGGTCCCTAACCCCGAGGAGCGTACAATCTAAGGTCCCTAACCCTCGAGGGGCGTACGATCTAAGGTCCCTCACCCTCAACGGGCGTACGATCTAAGGTCCCTCACCCTCAAGGGGCGTACAATCTAAGGTCCCTAATCCTCAAAGGGCGTACGATCTAAGCCCCAAGCCCTCAAGGGGCGTACAATCTAAGGTCCCTAACCCTCAAGGGGCGTACAATCTAAGGTCCCTAACCCTCAAGGGGCGTACAATCTAAGGTCCCTAACTCTCAAGGGGCGTACAATCTAAGGTCCCTAACCCTCAAGGGGCGTACAATCTAAGGTCCCTAACCCTCAAGGGGCGTACAATCTAAGGTCCCTAACCCTTAAGAGGTGTACAATCTAAGGTCCCTAACCCCCGAGGAGCGTACAATCTAAGGTCCCTAACCCTCAAAGGGCGTACAATCTAAGGTCCCTAACCCTCAAGGAGCGTACAATCTAAGGTCCCTAACCCCCGAGGAGCGTACAATCTAAGGTCCCTAACCCTCAAAGGGCGTACAATCTAAGGTCCCTAACCCTCAAGGGGCGTACAATCTAAGGTCCCTAACCCTCAAGGGGCGTACAATCTAAGGTCCCTAACCCTCAAGGGCGTACAATCTAAGGTCCCTAACCCTCAAGGGGCGTACAATCTAAGGTCCCTAACCCTCAAGCGGCGTACAATCAAAAGTCCCTAACCCTCAAAGGGCGTACAATCTAAGGTCCCTAACCCTCAAGGAGCGTAGAATCTAAGGTCCCTAACCCCCAAGGAGCGTACAATCTAAGGTCCCTAACCCTCAAGGGGCGTACAATCTAAGGTCCCCTAACCCCCAAGGAGCGTACAATCTAAGGTCCCTAACCCCCGAGGAGCGTACGATCTAAGGTCCTCACCCTCAACGGGCGTACGATCTAAGGTCCCTCACCCTCAAGGGGCGTACAATCTAAGGTCCCTAATCCTCAAAGGGCGTACGATGTAAGGCCCCAAGCCCTCAAGGGGCGTACAATCTAAGGTCCCTAACCCTCAAGGGGCGTACAATCTAAGGTCCCTAACCCTCAAGGGGCGTACAATCTAAGGTCCCTAACTCTCAAGGGGCGTACAATCTAAGGTCCCTAACCCTTAAGAGGTGTACAATCTAAGGTCCCTAACCCCCGAGGAGCGTACAATCTAAGGTCCCTAACCCTCAAAGGGCGTACAATCTAAGGTCCCTAACCCTCAAGGAGCGTACAATCTAAGGTCCCTAAACCCCGAGGAGCGTACAATCTAAGGTCCCTAACCCTCAAAGGGCGTACAATCTAAGGTCCCTAACCCTCAAGGGCGTACAGTCTAAGGTCCCTAACCCTCAAGGGGTGTACAATCAAAAGTCCCTAACCCTCAAGGGGTGTACAATCTAAGGTCCCTAACCCTCAAGGAGCGTACAATCTAAGGTCCCTAACCCTCAAGGGACGTACAATCTAAGGTCCCTAACCCTCAAGGGGCGTACAATCTAAGGTCCCTAACCTCAAGCGGCGTACAATCAAAAGTCCCTAACCCTCAAGGGGTGTACAATCTAAGGTCCCTAACCCTCAAGGAGTGTACAATCTAAGGTCCCTAACCCCCGAGGAGCATACAGTCAAAGGTCCCTAACTCACATTCATACATACACATAGTAGGGACAATTTGGACAGGAGCCAATTCACCTCCCAGCATGTCTTTTGGAGTTTGGAAGAAAACCGGAGTACCCGAGGAAACCCACACAGGCACAGGGAGAACATGCAAACTCCAGGCAGGTGGTGCCGTGGTTGGGATTTGAACCGACAACTCTATGATCACTTGCTGACTTGATACTGTCCACAGGCAGCTTAGCTCTTCAATAAGACACGGAAGTTGAATCTCGTGCAACTGTACATCAAGGCAATAGGGTTGATTTACTAAAACTGGAGAGTGCAAAATCTGGTGCAGCTCTGCATAGTAACCAATCAGCTTCCAGGTTTTTCATCAAAATTTAAAGCAGAACTCCGGTCAAAACTTTTATTTTCCTCTAGGAGGAGGGCTGCCTATTACCAGACAGAGGGTGACGTGGCCTACCACTTGGTGGGTGAGTGGCTGTTGTTCCCAGTTGCTTCCACTTTGTTATAATCCCACTAACAGTTGAGCGTGGAATATTTAGTAGCCAGGAAATGTCACGGATGGACTTATTGCCCAGGTGGCCACCTATCACGGGACCACGCTTGGAGTCACTGAGCTCCTGAGAGCGACCCATTCTTTCACCAATGTTTGTAGAAGCCGTCTGCATGCCTAGGGGCTTGATTGTATACACCTGTGTCCATGGAGGGGATTGGAACACCTGAATCACATGATATGGAGGGGATTGGGACACCGGAATCACATGATTGGGAGGGGATTGGAACACCTGAATCACATGACTGGGAGGGGATTGGAACACCGGAATCACATGATTGGGAGGGTATTGGAACACCTGAATCACATGACTGGGAGGGGATTGGGACACCGTAATCACATGACTGGGAGGGGTTTGGGACACCTGAATCACATGACTGGGAGGGGATTGGAACACCTGAATCACATGACTAGGAGGGGATTGGAACACCTGAATCACATGATTGGGAGGGGATTGGGACACCTGAATCACATGACTGGGAGGGGATTGGGACACCGGAATCACATGACTGGGAGGGGATTGGAACACCTGAATCACATGACTGGGAGGGGATTGGGACACCGTAATCACATGACTGGGAGGGGATTGGAACACCGGAATCACATGATTGGGAGGGTATTGGAACACCTGAATCACATGACTGGGAGGGGATTGGGACACCGTAATCACATGATTGGGAGGGGATTGGAACACCTGAATCACATGATTGGGAGGGGATTGGAACACCTGAATCACATGATTGGGAGGGGATTGGAACACCGGAATCACATGATTGGGAGGGGATTAGAACACCTGAATCACATGATTGGGAGGGTGGGGCCAATACTTTTGCAATATAGTGTAGTCACATGACTCTAGGAGGAGGTTGGCTCTGAATGACGCCGGGAGGTTCAGGGACGTCAGCTGGCTTCTAGGAGGAGGGCTGCCTATTACCAGACAGAGGGTGTGATGAGCCTCTCCATGGCTGCAAGAAGAAGTGCAGGATCTGGTGTAGGACTTCTGTCCTCCTCTCATGCTGCTAACTGCTGAGACAAGGCAGGGGCGGAGATGAGGGAGGTGCTACAGCTGCAGGAGAGGTGTGAGGGCCATAGGAAATGACCTAGCGGGCCTTGTGTTTGACACACGTGGCCTACAGGTAGGAGAAACCATTGAAGTATCAGTATTTAAGGAAGGCCCGGAGTAAGAAGTAAAGAAAACCTGAACGAAGGGGCATGACAGGGGTAAAGGGGGGTTTAAGTGCTCGATTTGTCCAGGTGATCAGGGAAAAACTGTATTTCCCCATTCCTATGATCCTCTGGAAAACCACACTCCCCCACGTCCAGTGGTGGACTGTTTCTGCCATCCTAGTGTTTGGGCATGATGACGTCAGGAACAGCCTATTGACAAGAGAGGGAGGGCAGAAGTGCTGGGGACTGGTCTTGTGATCGGAGGATCGGTGGATTAGGCAAGTATATCTTTGCTTTCTAAGACAAATATGAGCATTTAAGGGTTCTTCACAGTAAGAGCTGTGAGAATGTGGAATAGACTCCCTCCAGAATTGGTTGTGGCCAGCTCGGTGGATTGCTGTAGGAAAGTCCTGGATTCTTTCTTGGATACACAGAATATAACTGGATATAACATTTATAGGGAAAGTTGATCCAGGGAATATCTGATTGCCTCTCGGGGGAATTATTTATTAGGGCGTCCCTAGGGGGTGCGGGGGGTTCTAAGCAGTGGAGTCCCTAGGGGGGACTGGGCCATTCTAACACATGAAGATGCTTTGATCAGAACCATTCCATTGTAACTCTGGCTGGATGTTTCGGGTCGTTGTCCTGCTGGAAGGGGAACCTCCGCCCCGGTCTCAAGTCCTTTGCAGACTCTATCAGGTTTTCTTCTAAGATTGCCCTGTATTTGGCTCCATCCATCTTCCCATCAACCCTGACCAGCTTCCCTGTCCCTGCTGAAGAAAAGCATCCCCACCGCATGATGTTGCCACCACCATGTTTCACGGTGGGGATGGTGTGTTCAGGGTGATGTGCAGTGTTAGTTTTCCCCCACACATAGTGTTTTGCTTTTAGGCCAAAAAGTTCAGTTTTGGTCTCCTCTGACCAGAGCCCCTTCTTCCACATGTTTGCTGTGCCCCCCACATGGCTTCTCACAAACTGCAAACGGGACTTCTTCCGGCTTTCCTCCAACAATGGCTTTCTTCTCGCCACTCTTCCATAAAGGCCAGATTTGTGGAGCGCAGGACTAATAGTTGTCCTGTGAACAGATTCTCTCCCCCCCTGAGCTGTGATCTCTGTAGCTCCTCCAGAGTTCCCATGGGCCTCTTGGCTGCTTCTCTGATGAATGCTCTCCTTTTTTTATAACCTAACCCTGCTTTAAACTTCTTCACAACTTTATCCCTGACCTGTCCAGTGTGTTCCTTGGCCTTCATGATTCTGTTTGTTCACTAATGTCCTCCAACAAACCTCTGAGGGCTACACAGAACAGCTTTATTTATACTGAGATCACATGACACAGAGGCTCAGTTGGACTATTTACTAATTAGGTGACTTCTGAAGGAAATTGGTTCAACTAGATTTTAGTTAGGGGTATCAGAATAAAGGGGGCTGAATGCAAATGCATGCCACGCTTTGCAGATATATATTTATAAAAAAATTTTGAAAACCATTTCTCATTTTCCTTCAACTTCACAATTACGTCACATACCACATAAAATCCCAATAAAATTAATTTACATATTTGGTTGCTTTAAATTTCTTCACAACTTTATCCCTGACCTGTCTGGTGTGTTTCTTGGCCTTCATGATGCTGTTTGTTCACTAATGTCCTCCAACAAACCTCTGAGGGCTTCACAGAACAGCCCTATTTATACTGAGATCACATGACACACAGGGGGACTCTATTTACTAATTAGGTGTCTTCTGAAGGAAATCGGTTCCACTAGATTTTAGTTAGGGGTATCAGAATAAAGGGGGCTGAATACAAGTGCACGCCACACTTTTCAGATATATATTTGTAAAAAAATTTTGAAAACCATTTCTCATTTTCCTTCAAATTCACAATTACGTCACATACCACATAAAATCCCAATAAAATAAATTTACATATTTGGTTGCTTTAAATTTCTTCACAACTTTATCCCTGACCTGTCTGGTGTGTTCCTTGGCCTTCATGATGCTGTTTGTTCACTAATGTCCTCCAACAAACCTCTGAGGGCTTCACAGAAGAGCCGTATTTATACTGAGATCACATGACACACAGGGGGACTCTATTTACTAATTAAGTGACTTCTGAAGGCAATCGGTTCCACTAGATTTTAGTTAGGGGGATCAGAATAAAGGGGGGCTGAATACAAATGCCGCCACGCTTTTCGGATATTTATTTGTAAAAAAAAATTTTGAAAACCATTTACCTTCAACTTCACAATTACGTCACATATCACATCAAATCCCAATTACGTTTTTGGTTGCAACCAGGGGCGGACTGACAACTCATGGGCCCCCGAGCAATAGGGGATCATGGGGTCCCTGTGTCCTTGGCCACACTCAAAAAAGCCTATGAAAGGTAACATGGGGCATCTCATGGGGCCCCCTACTGACCTCGGGCCCTCGGACAGTGCCCGAGTTCCCAAATGGTCAGTCCTCCCCTGATTGCAACATGACAAAATGAGGAAAATTTCAAGGGGTATGAATACTTTTTCAAGGTGCCACCAAAAATATTTTGTTTTTGGTGTGGTGCTTCTTTAAAACCCTTTTTTTTCCCCCTTTTTTTTTTCAGTAGTGAAACAACTTTTTTTTTTTTTTTTGCAAAGAAAACTATTGTGCTTAGCTTGGCACGTTGGAGCCGCGTGAGTCCAGTTTTAGAACAGAAGCTGTAAACTTGGACCTCTGTGTGCCGTCGCGGCTAATATTAGAATTGTAACATCTAAGCTTCAGGGACATGAAACAATAGACACTCCAAAGCCCCGGAACCATCACAGGGAAGGGAGGTCTCACAAGGCACCTGATGCTTTTCAAAGGATTTTATTTTTTCATACGTGTTATTTTGGGAGACATTACAATGCGCTGTGGTGGATGCTTCATGCTAAACTTCTCTTCATGTGAACGTCGGTGCCGGAGTGGATGCGTGTTCAACCCTTTTGTGAACTCAGCATTATGATATGGGCAGCACAGGGGCTTAATGGTTAGCACTTCCGTCTGGCAGTACTGGAGTCGTCAGTTCAACTCCCAACCATGGCACCACCTGCCTGGAGTTTGCATGTTCTCCCTGTGCCTGTGTGGGTTTCCTCTGGGTACTCTGGTTTCCTTCTACACTCCAAAGACAAGCTGGTAGATAAATTGGCCCTAGTATATGAATGTGACCTACGATTGTGCACCCCTTGAGGGTTCAAATCCCAACCACGGCACCACCTGCCTGGAATTTGTATGTTCTCCCTGTGCCTGCGTGGTTTCCTTCTACACTCCAAAGACATGCTGATAGGTTAACCATTTGACGCCCGCCCTATGACCGAATGGCATCCGTAAAAATGTATTAGCTTTCCGGGAGGCCGCCATATGTGGTCCTCCCGCACATGCACAGTTCGCACGCTTGCAGAGCCGTGCCGTGCAGCGGCACGAACTGTCACCGGTCGTGTACCTCGGACACGGCCGATGACAGATCTAATAACCGGCCCCCGTTGCCGGTACTATGTGACCTGCTGTGACCAATCACAGCAGGTCACATGACAGTTGTATACAATGGATGGCTTCATTCATGCCATCCATTGTATACTAGTGCCTAGCTGTGAATGGTCACAGCGGTCACATGCACATGTCATGTGATTAGCTGTGGCCCTAGTATATGAATGTGATCTACGATTGTGCACCCCTTGAGGGTTCAAATCCCAACCACGGCACCACCTGCCTGGAATTTGCATGTTCTCCCTGTGCCTGCATGGGATTCCTCTGGGTACTCTGGTTTCCTCCCACACTCCAAAGACATGCTGGTAGGTAGGGGTGGACTGACAACTTATGGGGCCCCCAGACAATAGGGGATCATGGGGCCCCTGTGTTCTTGCCCACACTTAAGCCACTCCCAAAAAAGCCTATGAAAGTTACTAGGGCATCTCATGGGGCCCCCTACTGACCCCAGGCCCTTGGGCAGTGCTCGAGTGTGCAAATGGTCAGTCCGCCCCTGCTGGTAGGTTAATTGGCTCCTGTCTAAATTGGCCCTAGTATATGAATGTGATCTACGATTGTGCACCCCTTGAGGGTTCAAATCCCAACCACGGCACCACCTGCCTGGAATTTGTAAGTTCTCCCTGTGCCTGCGTGGGTTTCCTCTGGGTACTTCGGTTTCCTCCCACACTCCAAAGACATGCTGGTAGGTTAATTGGCTCCTGTCTAAATTGACCCTGGTATATGAATGTGACCAGGGGCGGACTAACAACTCATGGGGCCCCTGTGTACTCGCCCACACCCAAAAAAGCCAATGAAAGGTACCAGGGGCATCTCATGGGGCCCCCTACTGACCCCGGGCCCTCGGGCAGTGCCTGAGTGCTCGAATGGTCAGTCCACCCCTGAATGTGACCTACAATTGTTCACCCCTTGAGGGTTCAAATCCCAACCACGGCACCACCTGCCTGGAATTTGCATGTTCTCCCTGTGCCTGCGTGGGTTTCCCTCTGGTTTCCTCCCACGCTCCAAAGACATGCTGGTAGGTTAATTGGCTCCTGTCTAAATTGGCCCTAGTATATGAATGTTACCTACGATTTTGCACCCCTTGAGGGTTAGGGACTGATTGAATGTACAATATATATATAGCACGGCATAAATTGATGGCGCTATATAAGTACCTGTGATAAATGACGTGGGGGAGGTTCCCCCAATGGTAGATGTGCTTTCAGTGAGTCCTTGCCAGTGTGAACTTTTTTAAGGGCTTTCACTTTTATTTAAATGAAAACTAACCGTTCATAAGACGTTGCCCACACAAGGGATTTCAGCTTCACACAGCAGAACGAATGATAAAAAATGAAAAGCCACCTAGCTCGCTCTTCAGCAGCTCCACTGCTCGGCTCACTTGGACCGAATCACCCAGCTCACCGTGCCTCGCGCAGCCCACATGTAGTCAGGTGTGGTTTGTTTTCTCCACTGTAGGTAGCGGCAGGGGCGGACTGACAACTCATGGGCCCCCCGGGCAATAGGGGATCATGGGGCCCCCGTGTCCTCGTCCACACTCAAACCACACCCACAAAAGCCTATGAAAGGTACCAGGGGCAACTCATGGGGCCCCCTACTGACCCCGGGCCCTCGGGCAGTGCCTGAGTGCCCAAATGGTCAGTCCGCCCCTGGGTGGCATTCAGGTGAGTGGCACCACAGCCTGGAGAGGAAGTTCAAGGGAAACATTGTTTCACTATGGTTTCCTGGGTCAATGGGGCAGCGTTCTGGTTGGCTACACTGCATCCAGGTGACCCTTGGCTGCCATCTTGGGTCAGCAGGGTCTATTTAAGTCGATGCCCCTGGATTTTGGCACTATTCTTGCGTGCGGCTAGTCTAGGGAGAGAGACCCTGCTGGTTAGGGAAAAAAGGAACAGTAGGGAAAGGTTCCTGACAGGGAGGGAAAAAGGACTGGATAGGATCGTCTCTCTCGGGACTGGACTGGCCAGGTCACACTTCACCCTCTGCAGCAGACACTGTATGCATCTCTCTTCATCGAACTATGAGTTGTTTCCCAAGTGGGGCTCTCCCAGGGGCGGACTGACCATTTGGAAACTCGGGCACTGCCCGAGGGCCCTGGATCAATAGGGGGCCCCATGAGTTTCCCCTGATACCTTTTTCATAGGCTTTTTTGAGCTTGGGCAAGGACACGGGGGCCCCATGATCCCCTATTGCCCAGGGGCCCCATGAGTTGTCAGTCTGCCCCTGGGCTCTGCCATCAGGGTGTTTGTAATGTTAGCATTCTGTTTAATACAACTTCCAGGTTTTGCTACTACCTGCACCACACTGCAACTCCCCACATACAGGTACAGCACCTGTCAGGACCAGGATCCGAACCCACAACTTCTGCTGTGTCCGGCATTAGCTCTTCTTGCTTAGCCACCTGAGATGGGACGCTGTCCTCTCTGATCCTTTGGACAATCCTGCCCAATGCCTTGTTTCTGGTGAGTCCTGATCTCCTCCATGAACTTTTTATTTAAGCCATGCCTTTGAGCTTCCTGCTTGCCAGATTATTGTGCTCCTAGCAGATACAGCAGGGTAGGGTTCAAGCAGAAGCATAGTCAGTAAACAAGCCAAAGGTTGGTAACATGTAGTTGCAGGTTGGGAAGAAGAAGAAGCATAGTCGAGGAACAAGCCAGAGGTCAGCAACAAGTGATTGCAGGTCGGGATCAAGCAGGAGCTTAGTCAAGGAACAAGCCAAAGGTCAGTAATGAGTGGTAGTGAAGATATGGATGGCAGCAGGAGTTACAAGAACGAGACATTGGCTGGAGAGAGCACAATAATCTGGCAAACAGGAAGTGCAAAGGCATGGATTCAATAGGAAGTTCATGGGAGCAGCAAAGGGTTCAAGGTTCAAGACAAAGTTCAAGGCAAGATTATTCAAGGAAATGTCCAGGAGCCATCCACCATTCCAGGTGGCTCATGGCTTTAATAGGAAGTTCATGGGAGCAGCAAAGGGTTCAAGACAAACAAAGTTCAAGGCAGGATTATTCAAGGAAATGTCCAGGGAGCCATCCAGCATTCCAGGTGGCTCAGCAAAAAGAGACATTGCCAGGCAAAGCAGGTTACAGGTTCACAGATGGGTCCTGGCATAATCTCTTGTGTCCCGAGAACCTTTGTCTTTGGCTTTGGGGATTCCATCAACATTGTTCTTCAGGATTTTATAGGCATGGCTTTAATAGGAAGTTCATGGGAGCAGCAAAGGGTTCAGGGTTCAAGACAAACAAAGTTCAAGGCAGGATTATTCAAGGAAATGTCCAGGGAGCCATCCACCATTCCAGGTGGCTCATGACTTTAATAGGAAGTTCATGGGAGCAGCAAAGGGTTCAAGGTTCAAGACAAAGTTCAAGGCAGGATTATTCAAGGAAATGTCCAGGAGCCATCCACCATTCCAGGTGGCTCAGCAAGAAGAGACATTGCCAGACAAAGCAGGTTACAGGTTCACAGCTGGGTCCTGGCATAATCTCTTGTGTCCAGAGAACCTTTGTCTTTGGTGATTCCATCAACATTGTTCTTCAGGATTTTATAGGCATGGCTTTAATAGGAAGTTCATGGGAGCAGCAAAGGGATCAGGGTTCAAGACAAACAAAGTTCAAGGCAGGATTATTCAAGGAAATGTCCAGGGAGCCATCCAACATTCCAGGTGGCTCAGCAAGAAGAGACATTGCCAGGCAAAGCAGGTCACAGGTTCAGAGCTGGGTACTGGCATAATCTCTTGTGTCCCGAGAACCTTTGTCTTTGGCTTTGGTGATTCCATCAACATTGTTCTTCAGGATTTTATAGGCATGGCTTTAATAGGAAGTTCATGGGAGCAGCAAAGGGTTCAGGGTTCAAGACAAACAAAGTTCAAGGCAGGATTATTCAAGGAAATGTCCAGAGAGCCATCCAGCATTCCAGGTTGCCCAGCAAGAAGAGACATTGCCAGGTAAAGCAGGTCACAGGTTCAGAGCTGGGTCCTGGCATAATCTCTTGTGTCCCAAGAACCTTTGTCTTTGGCTTTGGTGATTCCATCGACATTGTTCTTCAGGATTTTATTGATCCGTATCCTAAGGTATCAAAGTTGGTTACTTGCTGTATTCTTCCATTTTCAAGTATTAGTTTTACTTCTGATAACCTAAAATATAAATACTCTTCTTACGAAGTGGTTGGGGCATACTGAGATTTTCTCTGGGCCCTTCGATATATTCCCTCCATGTGGTTTTGCTTCATTGACTCTTTGCAGCACCTCTTTATTCACAACCATGTCTGTCTAGCCTCAAAATCGTCCTGTAGCAGCGCAGCTCAAGACTTCTTTATTACAGACTTTGTGAGGGGAAATGTTCCTGCTCCATATCTGAGAACAGAGCAGCAAGAGGAAGATGGTTTTCTCATCACCTGTTGGGTCTCCATAAACCTTGGCCTTGGCGATTTCAGCTCTGACATCATCACGTTCCTCAGGCTTTCATTAATCCATATTGCAGGATATTGAAAGTAATCCAAAATGTTGCGTTTTGTCTACTTTGTAGGCATAGATTTTCTATAAATACATCGACTATTTTTAATTTTTGTCTTTATGCTGCAGCTGTCATCCTGTGACTGTGAATATATACCAGTGTTTGTGGACCTGTTTGTAAAGTCCTCCCAAGAAATGACTGCAGCAGCCTGAAATCTAATATTACATTTGAGCAGCTTATAACAATTCCTGGCAGACTGTAAGCCCCTCGTCTGTCTTTCTCTGCCTCCCCAAGGGATCCCTCTGGGATATGTTTTATACAGCATGTAGATGCAGTTTGTGTTCCGCTCATGCTGGGAACTCGGTTAAGATATGCATTTATGTGATGCTTGGGGTTGCATTTTCTGAGGTTTTGCCAGTTATAAGTAACTTTAATAAAGTGTATCTGTTCTTCATTTCTTGTGGAGGGAACCATAATGTAGGCTAGACAGAGTGTTTGAAAACTTAGCCTGAAGGTACTTAGAACCAGCAACAGCACCAGCTTGACATTCGGAAAAGAAATGGGTACTTTGTTACAGTTCTGATTAAAAAAAAAAGTTACTAAACACTTGGAAATTTTTGGGAATTCCACATGACTGGCTCCTAAAATGTGGTTTGGTCTCCTGCAGACCTGAGCAGTGGTTGAGAAGAGTTTTATTGTTTGTTTCTGTATTGTAAACATTTTCATATTTTGTATTTTTGGGATCTCTAGCTTGAGTTGCCTACTATAACTTCCCACTAGAACGTTGGATGGGGCTGTGGTCACACTTCTGACTCGATGACTGTGAAATATGTAAATCTTTCTATTGGAGGCCAAGGGCCTCATGTATGAAGCATGACTGGCTCCTAAAATGTGGCTTGGTCTCCTGCAGAACAGAGATGAGAAGGGTTTTGGGAATTCCACAGGACTAGCTCCTAAAATGTGTCTTGGTCTCCTGCAGACCTGAGCAGTGGTTGAGAAGGGTTTTCTTTTTGTTTCTGTATTGTAAACATTTTCATATTTTGTATTTTTGGGATCTCTATGTTGAGTTGCCTACTATAACCTCCCACTAGAACGTTGGATGGGGCTGTGGTCACATTTCTGACTTGGTGACTGCGAAATATGTAAATCCTTCTATTTGAGGCCAAGGGCCTCATGTATAAAGTACGACTGGATCCTAAAATGTGGCTTGGTCTCCTGCAGACCTGAGCAGAGGTGAGAAGGTTTTTTTTTGTTTGTTTCTGTATTGTAAACATTTTCATATTCTGTATTTTTGGGATCTTTATCTTGAGTTGCCTTCTATAACCTCCCACTACAACGTTGGATGGGGCTGTGGTCACACTTCTGACTCGATGATTTTGAAACATGTAAATCCTTCTATTGGAGGCCAAGGGCCTCATGTATGAAGCATGACTGGCTCCTAAAATGTGGCTTGGTCTCCTGCAGAGCAGAGATGAGAAGGGTTTTGGGAATTCCACAGGACTAGCTCCTAAAATGTGTCTTGGTCTCCTGCAGACCTGAGCAGTGGTTGAGAAGGGTTTTATTGTTTGTTTCTGTATTGTAAACATTTTCATATTTTGTATTTTTGGGATCTCTAGCTTGAGTTGCCTACTATAAACCTCCCACTAGAACGTTGGATGGGGCTGTGGTCACACTTCTGACTCGATGACTGTGAAATATGTAAATCTTTCTATTGGAGGCCCAAGGGCCTCATGTATGAAGCATGACTGGCTCCTAAAATGTGGCTTGGTCTCCTGCAGAGCAGAGAGAGATGAGAAGGGTTTTGGGAATTCCACAGGACTAGCTCCTAAAATGTGTCTTGGTCTCCTGCAGACCTGAGCAGTGGTTGAGAAGGGTTTTCTTTTTGTTTCTGTATTGTAAACATTTTCATATTTTTGTATTTTTGGGATCTCTAGTTGAGTTTGCCTACTATAACCTCCCACTAGAACGTTGGATGGGGCTGTGGTCACATTTCTGACTTGGTGACTGCGAAATATGTAAATCCTTCTATTGAGGCCAAGGGCCTCATGTATAAAGTACGACTGGATCCTAAAATGTGTGGCTTGGTCTCCTGCAGACCTGAGCAGAGGTGAGAAGGGTTTTTTTTTTTGTTTGTTGCTTGTATTGTAAACATTTTCATATTTTGTATTTTTGGGATCTCTAGCTTGAGTTACCTACTATAACCTCCCACTAGAACGTTGG